AAATTAAGAAATGGTTAGACGACAATATTATTAGACCCAGTTGGTCGGATTATGCACCACCTATTGTATTAGTTAAAAAGACAAATGGCTCTACTCGCTTGTGTGTTGATTATCGTAACCTAAATAAAAAAATAATTAAAGACTGTTTTCCTTTACCCTTTGTTGAGGATGTTATTGATAGACTTCATTCAGCCAGCATATTCTCCTCACTTGACCTCCGAAATGGTTTCTTTCACGTCCCGATAGATGAAAATAGTAAGACATTTACAGCTTTTATAACTGATCAAGGTCTTTATGAGTTTAATGTTACACCTTTTGAACTCTGTTTGTCCCCCGCTGTTTTTCAACGTTATGTTTATTATGTTTTCAGAGAATTAATAAACGATGGTACTATTTGTATTTATATGGATGATATAATTATCCCTTCAAATAATTATCAGGAAGGTATTGCTAAATTACAACGCGTTTTAGAAGTTGCTTCAAAATTCGGCCTCGAAATTAATTTTAGTAAGTGCCAATTTTTGCAAACTAGAATAGAATTTCTTGGATATTTAATGGAGAATGGAACAATTAAACCATCCCCAGATAAAATTAAAGCTGTAAAAAAAACCAAAATCAGTAAAAAATATCCAACAATTTTTAGGTCTTACCGGATATTTTCGTAAGTTCATTAAGTCTTATTCAATATTAGCTAAGCCACTTAGTGATTTATTACGTAAGGAAAATAATTTTTCGTTTAAAAACGAACACAGAGTTGCTTTTAACCATACCCTCCAACTGCTACGGAATTTCCGTAGTTTCAGAAATCTTCTTTTCAGACGGTAGCAAAATTAATGTCTTAATATTTCAAAAAAATTAATTTTAGCTTAACTTGTCCACTATTACTTATAAAAGTGCAGGCCATATGGCTAGATTCTTAAGTTCTGATAAAAGTTTTATGAGAGATCCATTTGCTTTAAAAATTTCTACTTTGGTTCGCTACCACTAGAAAGAATTATTTCCAAAATCTTCATAAGTTGGAGGGTATGCTTTTAACCAATTAAAAGATGCTTTGTCATCTGATCCCGTTTTACATATTTTTAATCCAAATGCAAAATTACAACTACACACAGATGCTAGTAAGTAAGGTTACGGTGCCATATTACTTCAGGAATCAGATAGGGGTCAATACCATCCAATTTATTATATGAGCAAGAAAACACTACCCCACGAGGAAAAGTATTCAAGCTATGAACTAGAGGTATTAGCCGTAATTGAATCTCTTAAAAAATTTCGTTATTTTTTGCACGGTACCCAATTTAAGATATTTGCAGACTGTTCCGCATTTCAACAAACGATGAACAAAAAAGACATAACGCCTAAGTTTGCTAGATGGGCTATTTTCTTATCTCAATTTAATTATGAAATTGTTCATAGGCCCAGTAATCAAATGAAACACGTTGATGCGTTGAGTCGGCAACCAGTAATGATCATTACATACGATGAACTTACCCTTAAAATTAAGAACGCTCAGGCTAATGACGAATATATCTCAACAATAAAACAACTTTTATTAAACGATAAAGCTAATGATTTTAAAATGCGTAACGATGTTTTGCTTAAAGTCATAGATGGTAAGGAATTGTTAGTGATCCCAACAGCAATGCAAACAGAAATTATAAAGCAAGCACATGAAAAAGGTCAATTTGTCACTGCCAAAACTGTGCAAATTCTCCAACTAGATTATTATTTCCCTAAACTCACAAATAAAGTGCAAAGTGTGATAGAAAACTGTGTTCAATGCATACTAGTAAATAAAAAACGTGGTAAAGGTGAAGGATTTTTGAATCCAATTCCGAAAGGTGATACGCCTCTTCACACATATCATGCTGATTTTTAGGTCCTCTTCCGTCTACCAATAAAAACTATAAATATTTATTCACAGTAATTGATGCGTTTTCGAAATTCACATGGATATACCCAGTAAAATCAACTTCAACAACTGATGCTTTAAAAAATCTAGAATTACAGAAAAGTAGATTTGACAACCCATCGCGAATAATAACAGATTGAGGAACTGCCTTTACAGCAAATAATTTCGAAGATTATTGCAAAAATGAATCAATTGAGCGCATAAAAATTACCTCGTAGCAATGGCCAAATCGAACGAATGCACGCTACTCTCATTCCAGTTCTAAGTAAACTCTTAATATCAGAACCAGAAAAATGGTACAAACATGTTGCAAATCTCCAACGAATTATAAATAGTACAGTAAGTGTCTCCACTAACTATTCTCCATTCGAATTACTTTCTGGTACTAAGATGAAATCAAAAGATGATGCCAAAATTCTCCAAATTTTAAATGACGAACATGTGGAAACCCTTAACCATGAACGTGACCAAATCCGGCAAGTTGCGAAGCAAAACATCCAAAAAATTCAAAAATTGAGCAAATCTCAATATGATAAAAAGTGCAAAAAGCCTAACACATACAAGGAAGGAGATCTTGTTGCAATACAAAGAACACAATTTGGCACAGGTCTTAAACTACGACCAAAGTTCTTCGGACCTTACCGAATCAAGTCTGTCAAACTACATGATAGATATGAGGTGGAAAAAATTGGACAACATGATGGTCCACACTTCACTGCAACAGCAGCAGACTTTGTGAAAAAGTGGCAAACAGATGAAGAGTGATTTTTTTTCTCTTCAAAATTCTGATTAAACTAATTGTGACAAAACTTTGAACTGATTATGACAACCAATCCCGAAAGTGTCACTTTTTTTTTTTTAAAGATCAAACGCGAAGCAAAAGGCAACGACGAGTTCAAATGACCAACGACGAATTTTGAGGTCTTTTCTATGCACTTTTCTTTCCATTTGTTTTTTGTATTTTTCAGGTTCTCAGGACGTCTGACGAATCAACGATGTCTGAAAATGAACGAGCTCTTTATAATTTTTCTGAATGGGGATATAGCCGAGGACGGCTCCAATTGAGGATGGCCGAGATGTTAAGGCCATGGAATTGAACATAACCATAAACGCCGCTAGATGGCGATAACTGATCACCAGACAATATTGTAATAAACGAAAAGACAATGACGATCTGGTAACGAGATTATTACGATGTATATGTAACGAGTTGTAATGTACGATGTTGATGTTTGAAGAGAAGAGACGTTCTTCTATGTTCGCTATATTCTATAATTGTTGTGTTTGTCCTAACTGATTTACTTTTGTTAAATTAAATATTTAGTTATCAAGTACATGTATTTATTTACCACTCCATACTAACATGTATATATATATATATATCGATACAAATTCCGCATCCGACTTGCACTGACCACAGTGCTGTCGTGAAATATACTCAGTGGTAGACGGATCATGGGTTAGAGTCCCCTTGCTCTCAGGCTAACCGTGGGAGGTCCTCGTGGTCTTCCTCTCCATGTAACGGGTTAGTACCATCAAAAAGTCCTCCTCAAAGGCAAATTTGTCCCTATACGTGAACCAGGAGTTCCGTTGTCTTCTGGATATTTTCAAAATTACAAAGCTAAGGAGTTGAACATTAGAAGTCGTAAACCCAAAAATTGGTTCTACTGTTCAACGACGGTTATATAGAAGTACTAATACTTAATAGTTGCTTCTGAAAGTGTCAGCAATAAGCAAATTTTGTTTAAATAAGTTATTTCGAAGCATATTTATACTGAAAAGTAATATACAATAAATATTAAAAAAAATCAAAAAGTTTTTTTAGGAGAAAAAATGAATCAACTAATTATAGAAAATCGAAAAAGAAAAGGATAATAAATCAAAATATGAACAAAATCACAACTGAACTGATCATGGTCGGAGAAATGAACTGTCAGTGAAGTGATCGTGTCGTCGATGTGAGTTGTCGGCAAAGTGATCGCGATTATGTTGTTGTTAATTCATATGCCACTTACCAATATCAGCAAACCTGCTTGGTAACACCAAGAGAATTTAAGACAAATGGTGCTTTTCTTATTTTTAGTGGCGCCATCTATGGCCAAGAATACGACTTCAGCCAACCCGTTTATAAGGTGGACCCATCCATTCATTTACAAGTTGTAACTTTGACCTTATCCAGAGAACCATCAATCTCCAATTCAGAACCTCAAGAGGTATGATTTGTATGAGAACATGGAGGATTTTGTGACCCGACAGATTCAGCGTCCACCAGTAATCATTTACTATGCGGGGTGCATTCCGCTGGCAGGGATCGAAACCACGACATCTTGGACATGAGCCTAATAGGTGATTTGAATACGGCCCTTTAAATGTCCATGGTAAACTATTCTACCGTTTTTAATTTAGGATGCCATTTTTTTATTATCTTGAGCTCTGCTGACGTACTTTTGAATAAAAATGTTGACCATGTGCCATTTTTAATGAAAAAAAATTTAATTTTTCATTTTGTACTTTGTAGAATTTATAAAATTAGTTTTAAGACATTTACTGGGTGGTGATAAACATACTTACCACCATAGAAAAAAAAAAGGCGGTAAAATTCAAGCTAATTTTACCAAAAAATCTAAATTATTATTATCTTGTTTTAGTATTTTAACTCCAGAAATGTTTAAATATAACTTAATTAGAAATAACTGGACAGAAAAGGAATAAACGAAAGCTCGCAAAAATCAAAAAGTGGTATCAATTTACTTTTACTTAAACGCAATTGATTCAATTTAATTTAAAGCTAACAAACATTTAGGTTTCAGATTTCTCATTATTTTGGATATTGTTTGCATTCTTAAAATTAATTATTGTTACTTAAATTTTAAAAATATCGCAGAAATTAAGATATTTTGTTTCGCTGAAAAAGAAACAAAAAATTTACACAAGTCGTCTACCAGTCTTTTATTTTTAATAAGACGCTGCGAACACTGTTATAGATGAAAATTATTAGTGGGAATGGAAATAATTCTGATATCAGTTTATAAGTGTCTCTTCAGAATTAATTATTTAAATATTCCAGAGAATGTAATATTGTACTTACCGCACAAGACGACGCCAACTGAAAATTAGACAAAAAAAATTATTATTACGTAGTTCAATTTTTTACAGAGTTTATTTAATATTCATGAAGACTTTAGATTAGCAGTACCAAAATATTTTTCGTGGAACCCTAGGGTTCTGTGAAAGAGTAAAAAAAAAATTCCGAGAGTAAGGCCTTTTTTAAAAAGCTTTTTTTTTTTAAAAGCATTTTCGAAACCGGTAATTATATTTAAGCCAAATTATGGTTTACTTCGAATTAGAAACTTATACGTTATTATACTTCTTTATCAAAGAATTAAGCTATTTTGATTTGAAAAGCGTAATAGGAAGCACAAATGAAATATTTAATAAATGTTTTTCCCTAATTTGATCAATATATCAATTTTAGAAATTTTATATATATATTTTTTGAAATAACGCCATTTCTATTTCATTGGCATTTTACTTGGAATAATTCCATAACGGCAACCGTAAGGTACAATAAATTATGAATTACGGTTTGATTTAAATATAATCAGAGGTCTCAGAACTTACAATTGATTTTAAAAGTACCTACTCTCGGAACCAATTTAACTCTTTCACGGAATCCTAGTGGTCCGCAGAACAAAAGATAGACAAAATTGTTTTTGATTAATGTTCGTAACAGAATATTTTTCCTAGCACTTTTTGCGTTTTGAACTATTTATTCAAAAAGAAATAAATGCTTTCAAATTGCATCAGGTTTCAAAGGGTTATATAGAGTTAGTATAGAAGTTATTAAAGAAGTTAGTATATAGAGTTAGTATAGAAATGTTTACAATATTTTGTTCTATAACTGCATGTGCAACAGTAAATAAATGTATTTTAAGATAACGAACAATTTTCAAAATGGATGAGAAAAAGGCTGAAAATGTCCTAAGATACCCAGATAAAAGCATACATTGCAGTATTTTAAATAATTGATTATAATATTTTAAATAGAATTCTAAAGCACAGATCGCTGAATAAAGCTGACTACCCTGTATAATTTTTGTAGATATTTTTTGTCCTGAATAACGTAGTAAATATTCGACTTCTTTAAAATTCAAATTCTCATGAAATATACCACCGATTTCGTACAAATTTTGAATTTTGCCACGAAAAGTTACATACTTTAAAATAAAATTATTTGTGTACCTTTATAATTCAAAATTTTTTCGACTGTTATTAAATGAAATAATAAAAAATAACAAATATTTACTAAAATTCATTTTTTTGCATGGAACTTATCTCTGGATAAATGAATTATATAATTGTGTAATTCGCTTTTTAACCCCTTGGGGACGGGTGATTCAGAAAAGCATTCGTACAAAATCAGAATCAAGTTGCAATTAAATAAAAAACGGTAACTTAAATGTAGTCGTTACTAATTTGACAGACTTACTTTGCTTTTATTTTAATTATTGTTAGTTTAATCATATATATAATCAATGTTAATTCAAAGTATAACTAAATAGTTTTATTTTGAACAAAGTAATGGTGAATTAAATAAATCAAAAAATTATAACTCCGCCTACAAATAAACTGCTAACGAAATACTTTGATTACCAGTTTTATCTTCTTACCCTGATTGATACGGTTTTTTGCTGTCACGTATTTGTGACAGTCGGCGCGAAAGGGTTAAAAGTTCTCGAGATATGGAGAAATACGCCGAAAGTAAAACTAACGTTAAGGGCTCCAAATTTTGGATAGATCTGACCAAACTAACAGGACCATCTTTCCCAGGTTGCAGCTTTATTGATTGGGGTATTCAGGGAAAGTACGTTTTTGGATCTGATTTCGTAACATAAAATATCTTCTGCGTAAATTAATTAGCATATTTGAGGTACTTCCACGAGCCATTAAGATTGAGTCCTGAAACGTGAAAATCCGATCATTAGATCAAAAGATATTTAAGGTCTATTTTTTAGGGGGCACTGAGTACTGCAAAGGGTTAACTAACACTTCGTAGACTGACAAGTTGAGACGTATATTTTTTTTCACCTAGAAAAACAGATTGAAAGCAAATCACTGTTTCTATGGTTGCGTTTTCTTTGATTGTTTGCCACGGAAAGGGTTAAAAAAATAATTTCACTTTAAAAATTGAGTATACATTATTCTATACTCCGTTGCAAGTTAACAGTTTAGGATTTAAGCAATCATCAGCGACTGCATATAGTTGCGTTTTATTTTATTTTCAAATTGTACAAATATGCTTTCAAAACAATATAAAAGCTTTTAATAGTTAAACACGTCAGATAGAAATTTAATTTCTGTTATCTTTTACAATATATATTATAGAATTATTATATAAGGTTATAATTTCGTATCCTTACGGGAATCCTAGACTTCCCGGCATAATAAATAAAGAGAACCTTCTTTCTCGAAAAAGAAATAACTATATAACTTTGGAAGAGCATTGGATTTGATTGGACCTCTAAGAAAGACGCGTCTTATGCTGACATGCTCTTAACAAATCTAATACGACATAAAGAATTTTTATTTCACTCTAGAAGAAAATAGTCTGCAAGGAAACAATATTTATTATTCTTTCGCCAGTTTCTTTATACGTGAAGAGAAATGCGCAAGTTTGTCACGATTTTCAGATATCATTTTTTATTAATTCTTAATATTTGTTAATCGATTATTGTGTTGTTAAAATAACTCTTATTTTCATTGATAGGCATGCAAAAAGATAGGCAAGAAAAAAGAAGACGCCATTTCAAGAGTTGGAAATACTGGTTCGCGCTGGGCATCCTATTTGTCATCTCTCCATCGGGAGAATAATAGTTTTTTTCTTAACAGAGCATAATTCCTTTATGAAACTCTGAGTAATGAGCATTATGAAAAATAAATATTTTGAAAGGAAAGTAACAGAGGTGCCACGGGCGACTAAAACTGCAAGGAGTGGAAGATACAAAATTTATTTTTATTCATTTAATTTATTTAATCATTTAATTTGTTTAATCATTCAATCGTACTACCACCATTTCTTACATTAATCATATCTAAGAAAACAACAACATTTGCAAACTGAAATAATTAAGCAGAATAATTTTGCTAATTTCAATCTTCTTTGATGGTTTTAGTCCCATGTTGTTTTGAAGTATTACTATAAAACAACATTTAAATCTTAACACTGAAAAAAATAATTCGAATGCTAATATTTGGAAAAAAGTTTAAATGTTTGCATAGTAAAAAAAATACATAAATGTTTGTATTGTAAAAAAATTATTTTAAGCTGTGTCAGAAATGCCAACTTGCTCCGGACAACGGATAAATATTTTCGAGTGGTAGTTTTTTAATGTGTGATTCTTGGTTTAATAAATTCGATATATTAGGTTTTTATCCACCACTTTTTCTAAACTATTCGAAGACTTGTATGAATCGCCATTAAAAAAGTTAAAGCACGCTAAACCTTTTAAAAATAAGCAAAATTTACCAAATATTTGTACATTTTAGTCAGTAGTTAATTACCAATTTTAAAAATATTTTGACTTGTCCGGAGCAGTTGGCATCTCTGGCTGTGTAAAAGAAAAATAAATTCTTGCTCTGAGATATCATTGTAAAAATACACTGAAATATAAAATCTTAACAATAAGAAAAATAATTGAGTGTTAATACTTGAAAAAATAAATAAATATTAGCATAATAAAAAAATAATTAAATGTTTGCATTATAAAAAAATATTTTAAACTGAAAGAGAAATAAATATTTGTTCATTGTAAAATAACACTAACATATTAAATCTTTGCCTTAGTAAAAGAAAAAATTTCAGCATTATGAAAATTAATTAAATGTTAGATTAATAAAAAATAAATAAATGTTAGCATTGTGAAATAAAAATTCTTTAACTGTATGAAATGGAAATAAATCTTTGTTATGAAACACCATTGCAAAAGAGCACTAAAATGTTAAATCTTAGCATTATGTTGTAGCATTATGAAAAATAAACAATGTTAAACATAACAAAAAATAGTTTGATGTTAGTGTTACGAAAAATATTTTTTTGAATTCTATATTGAGAAATAATTTCTTGTTCTTAACTCTCTTTGTTTAACATCTTTAAAATAACAAAAAATAAACAGAAATTTGGTACACTTTTAAACATTTTGGATCCTATCGAATTAAAATATCGTTTAAACTTGCTGCAACCTTAAAATATTTAATTTGGATTTTTGGTAAAATATTTACATTAATCTTCTTGATTTGTTTTCCTTTTACAAATTTTTGATCATAGAATGTCACTAAAACAATAAAGATCTTCTTAATCAAGATCGACTTAAATCTTCGTGATCCGCCTTCAGTTGCAATTGAAAAATATCAGTCCTTGGAAGTAATATTAAAAAAATGTAAATCTCTGTTGTCCGTTCTAGGAAGTATTAATTGAAAAATTTAAATCTGAGTTGCCCTTCCTAGGATATGATAATAGAAAATCGTAAATCTACGTGAATTGTCCTTAGTTATAATGGTTAAATATGGAACAAAATTTTTAATCCTACTATTAGTTCACACTCTCCCTATATCTTGTTCAAATTTCCAATCATTAATAAAATACTTTTTATTCATCCACTTAAGTTCAAATACGCTTTCTTAACTTGTATTGAATGACACTTGATTTTAATACAGTTTTTTTCAAATATCAATTCATTCCTTAAATAGGAAGAAGCGAAAAACGAAATGGAATTTTCTGATTGGTTAAGCGTGAGTCGTTGCTTTAAATTTTACCATTACGATTAAGTTTATCATATATTTTAAAAATAACATCAGTGATAATTTTTAACCTATTTGAAAGAATGTTATAAAAATAAAGAATGTTATACTCTATTTGAACAAGAAAATAGAGAAACAAATGAACAGACTTACTTAGAAAGTAACAACAAATAAAGATGAGAATCAAACGGTTGTTCATAGTCAGGCTGGAGTGTTTTCTTTTAGAAAACCGGGAAGACAAGTTCTTTTTAAGAAGGAAAATTTTCATATTCCTTATCGTTCAATCATACGTGATTTGCACTTAGAGTGTTAAAACTGTAAGTCGCAAGACAAGTCTTAAGACAAAAATATATGATATCTTTTGATCAATATTTTCTCTATATTCGATAGTCTCACTAAGAAGATTCTCACATGATACAAAATGTATCAATAATTCTCATAGATTGTGTGAATTGTAAGAACAAATTATATGAAAATCGTGATTCTCGGAATTCGTTAGGCGAGAGATAAGATGCATTGTAAAATATATGTATTTGAACTACAAAGCTGTAATATATACTTAGCTGACATATCTTTAGATTTTCCGGGAGGATTTTATTTTTATATTTAAAAATGCAGTGTAATAGTTTCATTATTAATTTAATAAATGTTATTTAATATTTTTTTCACACCATTATATGCAAATATTTAAAACGTATACAGTAAAGACTTTGCCTTTCTTTGTATTTTTATTATTAACAAAGCTACTAACTAACAAGATCCTTGAAGAGAAAATACAACAGTTGTAATGCAGTAATAACCTATCAAGTGAAAAAATTTTTTACTGAAAAGGGCCGGGGAATAACTTCCTTAATAAGTGAATAAATTTGATTCAATATTTTTTGCACATTATTAAGTGTAAATATTTAAAACAGAAGCTGTAAGGAATGTTATCATCAACAAAGCTGAAAACTTGCAGTGTCGCTAAAAGGAAAATACCAAGTCGTAGTAATGTAATAATAATTCATTAAGTAAAAATAACTTTTTATATTTAAAAGGGTGGCAAAATAGTTTCATTCTTAAGCTAGTAAATTTGATTCAATATTTTTTTCACACCATATATGCAAATATACAAAACGTACACAGTAAAAACTGTTATTAGTAACAAAGCCTAACACTTGACTGAAAGCTGAAATCATGACTGCCTGATTATTAGACATTAAGTGCGTATAATTGTTTTCTTGGTTTCTCGAGGTTCACAAAATATTTTTCTAACTATTATAAATCACGGTATATATTTGAAAACTTAAATATCTGTACCACCTGTTTAAATGAACTGGTAAGCGTTATACGATTACATTAAATTTCCTAACTCAAGAATCAACATTTAGTTTTTTACCATTATAAAAATTATTCCCACGATGCAGAGATAGTTTGCAACTCTGCAATTACAGGATACGAACACTCACTGTACGTATTCAATGCACACGCGGTGCTGTTAACTTAAATCAAATGACAGCAATGCCTCTTACAGGCCTTTTATTACCAAAACCGATTTCCACTAACTACCTGCCTTGCTGCTATGTACGTGACTGTATAAATATGTAAATAACCTCATTTTCCCATTATATATATATA